TAAGACTTAATATAATAAAATCCTAGTTTTTTAAATTCAAAAATATATATATTTTATAATCTTGCAATTTTACTTTATTATCAAGTCCTTTTCTCGTAAATATGTGTGTTCTTTTTTTACAGTACTTCGAAACTTCTTAATATCCAAACAATATCTGAACAAAACTTAAAATATATAACTTTCCATTAGCAAGAAAACACTAAAATTAAAAAATAAATTGTGTGAATTTTATTGAAGAAAACATTATAATAAAACTTTAAAATCCCAATTTTTTTTAATGCGTCCAAAATGATTTTATTTTTTCCCGTGCAGCAACCTGAGTCCACTCCGAATCGGACTACCGTGCAAACCCATTTCGCAGTTAACAGCGCAACAAATAAAAATAAATTATACCAGAAAAAAATAGCACAAAATATTGTTGGGGTAAAACACAACGTAAAAAAATATACATACACACATTAGTTTATTTGTATGCAAGTCGTTGCATTGGCGAAAAGAGAAAACCCAGGGACAACAAAAGATGAGGAGATGGAGAAAGGGAGGTGGGAAAGTGGAAAGGTGAGCTAAGAAGGTTAAAAATCAAGCATCAAAGTGAAGTGCAGGGGACCAAAGTGGTCAGCCTTAGGGTATTTTTAATGCACTTTTTAAACCTTGTATTAAGACCTGGTAAATAAGCAAAACGTTTAAAAATGTAAATATATATCATCATTTGTAATATAATAATAATTTTACCCTAAAAGTAGTGGGGCCTTTAGAATTTTAAATTAATATTTATTATATAAATTTATAAAAGTAAGTGCTGTTTATACAATATATTGTTGTTTGCTTAAAGGATTTTTACATAGAGCAACCATTACTAATTGAAGATTAAAATTTGTTAATAAATATTCAAAAAAAAAACTTTAAAAAAATGGAGTTTTCGTTTTGTTGAAAATCCTGTCTTAAACCAAAAATGTATAATGCAGCATCTAAACCTTGGTGACATTTGTAACTTGTTACACTACACTTTTTATAGGTGTCCAGCCCGCAGGTTTAATTTAATACATTAATACTATCCTACCTGATTTAAAGACAATATCCACCGAGCACCTTGAGATGGATCAGTGGGTCACCCCAATAGGATTTCTTTTAAAAATTTACAATTTTATTATTGCTTACCTGACGACACCTTAGGGGATGAGGGCACGCACTTGGTCCCACGATCCACGGATGATCTTCGGGGACAGATAATGGCCGGCATGACCCATATCAAATCCAAACTCCCTCGCAGCCACAGTGTACCGCAGTTGGAAAAAAGGTTAACACAAGACCAAAAAAAAAAAAACAAAAATGAAAAAAAAAAAATTGGAAAAAAGAAACGCTGAAAAACACAACAACAAAACAATAACAAAGTGGAAGGAAAAAAAGTACGACCATCAACACGATCATCAACGAGAACCATAAATAAGACTTAAATGGCATGAAAAAGGCAAAGCAACAACAACAACAATGCTGACTGCAATCAAAACGCAGGCTATACCCATTACAGCAACAACAACAACAACAACAACAACGTTAACCACAGCAAACAACTGAAAAGAAAAAGCAGCGAAAAAAATACAACAAAAATTATCAAAAAAAAAAAAAAACGAAAAAACACCATACGAAGTCAACGTTATATATCGACTATAAAAGCAACAAAAACCACATCGAACAGCCGCACCTTCGAACCCCCACACATCCACACACGTACCTGTATAATCTCGGTTACCATATGTATGTATGTATATATCTGTATATATATCTGCCGCCTCTGGCTGCTTCCTCTTCCTCATGCTCCGACTTCGACTTTAACTCCGACTGCGGAGCAAAAAGCGAGGAGCCTGCAGCGCTTGGGGATCGAGCGGCCCAAAATGACGGAAAACAAAAAAAGACTAGCATCAGGATGTGAAGTTCATAATACCCTTACACAGCATAGACGTTCAGATGTTTTTACAGCCATATGATAACTAAATTACTTACTATTTATGGCCGATTTCTCAATGATATGTTAAGTTTTAACGTTGAGGATAAGCACTTAAACTTGTATTTTCCCAATTTCATGTTCGATTTTAACTGAAAAAGGGAGATATCTGAATATTATAAAAATAGATAATTAATGTATACACCATTTTAAATTTAATTTAATTTTATAGTCTCAGCTTTATGACACTTGATATACATATATGCTATATGTTTCCTTTACTATTATATTTAAATAAGTTTTCAATTGATAACTGGTTGGAAAAATTTTTAATTCATTGTTACTGAAATTGTTTATTTTTAATGTAACACTCAAAAACTCCGTATTTTTTTCAGGAAACTGCAAAAATATTGCTGAATTTTAAAACCTTTGGGATTACTCTGTCCAAATCTTTCTTTTCTGATATTATGGCCAAAGAGAGGAATAATATTGAGAGTACTGACAAAAATAAGAACTAAACTAGACACTGGTTATAACATAATTTTTATTAATACTCCAAGATTATATGTACCTTAATTCAAATATTATAAAAGTCATTATTCGAAATTTTTTTTTTCACAGATTTTTTAGAGAAGCGCAATGCATTGGCAAAGGACTCATCCCCAGAAAGGGTACTTGCAATCACATCGAGCGACGGACGCGTGTTGCTCCACCGTATCTTTGGCTCAATCTTGTGGCAGCCTGGCCGAGGCGACTTGGATCTTTGGGTCCCCATTCGATCCGCAGCATGCCTCCCCCTGCGGAACCCCCCCTAGCCCCCTTAAGTGGTCCTGGGTTGGGCGATGGTGGGGCGGAGATAATTCCAGGTGAGTGCTGAGGGCGGCGATGATGAACCCTCACATCCAATTGAGGGGCGGACGGCGATTTCGTTTTGGTTTTGGTTAGAGTGAATCGAAACCAAGGAAATCCTTTAGCACTCAAAGATCAGGTCTGAAAGCCAAATGTATAACCTGAGCAATTAAAAACAAAAAACCCCGTTTAAGGCCATAATTCAGTGATACAAGATGGAAACAAATGGATTATATAAATAAACTTGGCGCCAGACAATCCTCTGAATATTTATATGTCTGCTAAACGGATTCCGACTATAAGCTTTTTAATATCAAATACATCCCTGCTAAGTGTGCTAATATATTCAAGAAATACGATAAATGCATAAATAAACGCCAAAAAATGAGAAACTGAAACTTGCAAAAATGAAACTAATGCCAAGAAAGGAATTAAAAAAGAAAAAGTAGAAAATCAAGAGAATGGTTTATACCCTTTCGTATAAATGACAAATGAAATATGCATTAAGTAGATGAATAACCCCTAAAAGGAAAAACTATATTAAGGTGAGAAGGAAAGTTCGCATTGAAAGAAGAGAAGTCAATTAAAGAAGTTGCTAATGATGTTACCTGCCTGTAAGACCCATTCTATAGGGTATCAAAACCGGCCGGGGTTGGTAAACAATGCTTGTTTGTTAGCTTGACTGGAAGATTGTTTTGCAGACATAAATCTCAAGACCAACAGACAGTCCGAGAGAACAGATGGGGACCAAAAAAAATAAAGAAAAAAAAGAGAACCCGCAGGGCTAGAAGCGACCCAGACACAGGTCCACAATAAATTCACTTCACTTCCATCGAGTGATTGGAAATTTGGTTTATAGGCAATATATATCCATTCCATTATATTCTATTATATTGCAACCTAAAACTATAACAATAATTGTACGTTTTATTATAATTTAAAACTTATACCAAAGTCACAAAAATTAGGAGAATTAAATCTAACCCAAAACTAACCAATTATAAGATAAAAACATTTTACACATTTAATTAAACTGGTTTTTAGATGATTTTAGAGACCTAAAATATATTTTAATCAAATATATATGTACAATCATTTTAGGTTTTAATATGGTCTATATAATCTTTTTAGGTTTTAATTTTTTCTATTTTCTTTTTTAATGTGTTTATATTTTTGTGTTTATAACCCAAAAAGATTTGATCACCTATCGAGTGTATATGAACTTCGTCTAAGATAACTTGTCCCGAATTCGATTTTTTTTTGTATCTCGTTCGCTTTTGGCAGACACTTGAGTGAGGTTTGACTGTCTGAGTATCGGAGTGTCTGGTCGGCTTATGTGTTCATTTGTTTATCGCCGGGACAGAACTCGAAAACCAGTTCCCCAGATGAAGTTCTATCGTAATTGCGTATAACATTAAGTACAATACATTAAGGTCTAATTGACAGACAGACTGGCAGCCCAAAGGCGGTCACCCCCCATCCTTCTCATCCTCCCATCGACTCATCAAAATGCGATAGATTGTGGCTCGTGTTGGTGTTGCGATTTATTATATAAGCATGCGGAATTACGTAAGCACTTGTCGAGCAGTTGCCTTATGGCATTAAGTAATTCTCTTGGATCTCCCGATGCCTTGAGTCGTTCCTCGTCTTTGCGATTATTACCGCCACTGGACTGACTCATTCAATGTCGACTAATTACAGCCCTATCACAGAATCGATCGTGTATTCATGTACACAGATATATTCTCCAGCTCCTGATCTCTTCCTGGAGTCTTTTGTTTATTCGTGCATGGAAAATTGATTAGGCCATAAGTAATTAAAAGTCCAAGCGTTTTAAATTTACGACCTCGAGTGGAACAAAAATGATTACACGGTTTTATAATGAATATTAAACTACAAAGTAAAGATGCGTTTTATTCTAAGGGAGTTCTTTTATATAAATTTATTATGTTTTACATGTTATAATATTTTAAAAAGCTTATGTTTGAAGAAATTGAAGAGTGGGGCTGTAAGAATAAAATAAAATAAATATTAACCAGTTTAATAATCAAAGATTTGTTAAAAATAGGACTAGTTTGGAAAAACATAAATTTTTTAAATATTTTTGACTGAGAATAGATTTTTGTTTATATTTGTATTTTACTGTTAAACCTTATTAGCACTACATAGCTTACATATTCTTAACACAGCAGTTAACAAGTTAAGAAAAATGCCAGGCTGGCACAGTTATATATTCCTGATCCCTCTCATGATCATAGCTATATTTTTAATCATCGGCAAGGGTTTCTTTAAACATATTCGAGTAGTGGGCCGCAATGGATCGTTGCGTTATGAACCCACAGAACTGAACCTCACCCAAATGCGAAATCTTGCTGGTCTTTCGGATCTGAATAACCTGCGCGAAATTGTGAGAAAGATATCGGTGAAGAGGGTGGTCGGCACTCCAGAACATTCTGCGGTGAGGAATTACATAATGGAATACCTAATGGAGCTGAACTGGACGGTACAACTGGATATTTTTACGGAGAAGGTGCCGATTTTTGGATACGTGTCTTTTGAAAATATCGTGGCCCGACAAAATCCGAGTGCAAAAAGATACCTAATGCTGGGCTGCCATTATGATAGCAAGTATTTCAAAGACTCTGTTTTTGAGGCCGCCACGAATTCAGCAGTTTCTTGTGCAATGATGCTAAATATGGCCAAAATATTGAAGGACCAGTTTTCTCGATCTGAGATCAGTTTAATGTTTGTCTTCTTCGATGGAAAGGAGGCATTTAAAGACTGGTCGGTAAAGGATTCACTTTATGGTTCCCGGCATTTGGCAGACCTCTGGGAGAAAAAAGGCTTCCTCGATCGGATTGATCTCTTTTTGCTGTTGGATTTAATCGGGGTTAGGAACATAAAATTCAAAAACAACATTCTGTACACTTCCAGTTGGTTCCACAGATTCGTGCAGATTGAACAGCAACTCACAAAGGCGGAATTACTGCAACTAGAACATCCTATCCAGCAAGGATGTAGATGATGATCATTCACCGTTTTTACAACACAATGTGCCAGTGATTCATCTAATAGCTGCGGAATATCCAGCAAATGCCATATTTGCCGAAGATGTGGAGCAGAATGTGGATTACGAAATCACTCTGAAAGTGGATATTATTCTACGAATGTTTGTAATGGAATACCTCAACTCAGCTCCTTCTTCATCCATCGGTTTGACACATGCCATTCACTAGTATTTGTTTCGAAATGATTGTTGTAAAATTTAATAAAAATCAAACATTCGAATGCATCTTTTGGTCTAATAGCCACAATTTATATTTAGAAAAGTTCAGAATTCAGCTGTTAGCCAAATATTATTTATTTTAATGTTTCTAAGCTTAATTCTTATTTTCAAGCTTAAAAATTGTTTAAAAACTACACTCAAAGAACACCAAAAACCCAAATAATCAAATATTGTCGAAATTAACTTTTCTAATAGACATCCTATTTCAAAGGGGCTTAGTTCTAAATGATTCTGGTAAAAATCTGTGTCTAAATCTTCGTTTATATTTTTTTGGTCGATTTTTCGACATTTCTTATGACCTGATTTTCGAGAGATGGCTTTGCCGAAAAGTGACCAAAAACATGCACTACTCAGCACATAACTTTTCTTACAGACATCCGGTTTTATAATAAATCTAAAAATCTTTTTCTTTATCTATATTTGTATTTTTGGGCCGATTTTCCGTAATTTTTATGATGTTACCCCTTTTCTAGAGTCCATAACTTTACCAAAATTAAACCGATTTCAAAGTGGTATACCTCTAAAGACTTGTGATTCGAGTCCCTAAAAATCAAAATTTTTAATTTAAAGTTAATTAAATTTTTGACCCATTTTCATGTTAACCCCTTTCCAAATTTTCGAAAAACGGCTTTGCAGAAAAGTGGTCCAAAACCTGCACTTCTAATCCCATAACTTTTCTTAGAGACATCCGATTTCAAAGTGGCATACTTCAAAATGATTGTGGTTAAATTCTCTAAGCATTTGTGCTTTAAATTTTTGTTTATTTTTGGGTCAACTTTTCAGCATTTTGCCAAATTTTTAAAAAATGACTTTATGACACCAATCTAAGCTAAATAGGACAGTTTGGCCAATATAATAAGATTTTAATACGTGGTTCCAATTTCTAAAAAGAATTACCCCAATATAATGGCCAACCAAGCAATTTAAAAAAAAATATGTCAGATAGGTCAACTGAAGTGCTGTGAGATCGTTTCTTGATTAATGACCACGATTCTGACTTTGCCCCAGCCGCAGACTTCAGTGTGTTACTTTTGGCCTCTCCTGGCAACCGAATCGTATCAAATTTCCATCCATCCGCCATCGCTTTTCCGCTCCCCAGTCGACCAAAAGCCATCAGGCCACGGGCAACACTCGAAATTTATGTACGCTGCTCCCGCTCGCTGAAAGCAACACGAAAGTTAATTAAACTTGAAAATAATAAAAGCAAAGCGGAGCAGAACAGAACAGAAGCAGCAGAAGGATGTGGATGTGGATGTGGATGTGGCGAGTAATGAAACACAAAAAGTGTACATCACAGCCAGCGGGCACCGAATGGCGGACACGGGCCCTGAAATCGGCTGGGGATTGTATATATACCAGCATATATATGTATTCGGGGGAAGGTGTGGAGGTCGGTCGGTGGTCATCATTAGCATATCGCCGACAGCGGCGCGAAAAAGGGTTCCCATTTGAAAAGTTAATCGCCAGCTGATGCTGCACTGCGATTGCGATTGCGAGTGGCGAAAAACCAGGGGAGGGGATGGAAAAGGGGTGACGATGACTGCGTTGACACTGACAGTCGCCCAAAAAACCCCCCCAGCAGGACCCACCCAAGGCCATATCCCTGTCGTCGGACCTTATCTGCGGACTGCAATAAAAACGGACAATAATTAAAACTGGCAAATAGAACTGGCACACTGAGCCTGTCCTCTGCACACTTTACAAAAAATCAGACGAAAAAATCATAAAATATTCCCCAAATTATAAATCATTTTGCAGTACATATGATTTTATTTTTGCTTATTTAAAATAAATATGCATTATAATGGTTGCTTTTTAACTTATTTTTAATAACTATACCTTTATTAATATACGACTTCTAAGTCTATGATATTTAATAAAATTTAATAAAATAATTAAATGGAAAATAAATACATTGAATTTCAATAAAAAATTAAAGGAAATTAAATTTCATACAAAGTATAATTTAATTTCATTTTTTTAAGCAAATTTTTTCTACATCAGTTATTCATAAGTGCAGTTTTTAATAGCGGTGTCTTAATTATTTACATAGCCCAAAAAAAACTGTTTTAGTGCATTCGGAATTGATTAAGCCCAAAGGGAAATTGTTCTTTTGACTAAATACAGATAGCAAGTTAATTCAAAGGGCCTTCTTTGAGCCTTTTAAAGGATTTCTTTTCCAATATTTTTTCAAGATTATTCCATTCATTCCTTTTCTTTCCCTTAACTAAAAACACAAAGTTAGGGAATTACCACGAAAGTCTTGCCCAACATTCATTAACAGTCTGCCGTCATTTGCCTAACCCTTTTCTGCTTAATCAACAAAAAATTGTGTACTTACAAATATATATAATTTGTACAGTGCGTTTCAAAAGGATAAGTCGCAAATTAAATATGTTATAAAAATGTATTTGTTAAGGAAATGTATTTAAAGGGAAATCATAAAGAATAACAATAGCCTAAAATGTTTCTTAAATGTAAAATATATAAGGAATGGAATTAAAAATATTTGTTTTCGTTTTTAAGTGATAAAGGTTTTTATAATCTTAAATGTAAATGAACCTACAGTTCTGGTACGCACTGTACATAAAAGAAACTTATCACATTTTCCGGTTTGGTCGCTGGTTTGAATTACTGCAGGTTTGCCTTTGCTCGCCTCCTGTTTTATTTTTTTCCAAACAAATAACCGTAAAAATCTTTGCCATCCACATCAGTCGTAAAAAGGGGATTTCATTTTAATTACATACGAATTTCCTGTTTTTTTTTGTTGTATTTTTTTTTGTCAGCTTCAGCTTTAGATTCAGCTTTTGCTTTTTCGGTTTTTTGTATATGCTCGTTGAATGGGTGCGAGTGCATCGGTGGATGATATAGAGAGTGCCTAACCCACCAGCTTCTTTGTGAAACGCTTTCGGCCGTGTGTTGACTTTTATAATTAAGCCCTTTGTGTACATTTCCAGTTGATGGCACCCCATGGGGTGGGGAGGGGGGTATGGAGGACAATCCACCCCTGAGTGCTCACCTGGCGGAGTTGGAGAAGCATCATAAAAAGGATTAATTGTGCGCAATTAAAGAAAATATATTACCAAGTTCGGGGCCAAGTTTCGTAACGCTTTTTTTCGGTTTGTCCTTCTCAGGATTCGAAAAGTTTGCCAGCATTGAATTATGCAAAATCATTTAAATGCGTCGCCCCGAAAAGTTTTGCCAACATTTCTCCGCCGACTTAACCACTTTGGCATGTGTCTCAGATTCTTATTGTTATTGTTCTTGTTGTTTCGCCCCTAGGAGGCGGGAAGGGGAAAGGAGGGGGGGTCTTAAGTTCATAATGTTCATAGAGAGCGTTCCGCGTGGAAAGACGAAAAAGGGCTCGAGTGGGTGGTGTCCCGATCACAATTGCCAGGACAATGGAGAGGGCGGCAATCCCTTTCCTTCCTTCCACATGCGTTCCCGGGTTAATTGCTCAAGTTCAAAATTAAAATATTTATTACAATGAAAAACTTTGGCACTTTCGCGACGCCAACGTGACGAACAAAAGGCAGCTTACGAGTAGAGTACTCCTACTCGAAATGTTCCTTTCCCCCTTTGGGAATTGTTTAATTTGTTTTCCGCTTAGTGATGTTTGCCCCAGTGTGTGTGGAGCTCCTCCATTGAAAGTACGCTGGTTGTACGGTGTTGGCACACCGGAACAATGGAACTTGTCATAAATTAAATAATATCATAAGAGTGCAGCAAAGCTTCTAGCTAATTGACACACAAACTGTACCTCCATTGTCTATCTCGTTGCCATTGGTTTATGTTGATAGCAAACGAATATTTGCTCTTCAGCTCGGCTGTGAGTAAATATTTTGATGCTCAAAAATAAACACTTTCTTTCAGACACTGGGAAAATATAGCAAACGAATAATTTTAAAATATTTTAAATAATACAACGCAATTGAAACCAAGACAATAGACAATAAGTGATTTATTTAGTATAATAATTAATAAAAAATAGTTAATACCATATGCTTGGAATCTATAAAATAAAAAGTTATTATAAAATTAGAGCTAAGACCAATTTAAATCATTAAATTTTATTGAAACTATTCCAAATTAAATAAAAAACAGGTATTTTTATTATAAAACCTATTTTAAAACAAGAAAGGAAAGCTAACTTCGGGCGGAGCCGAAGTTGAAATACCCTTGCAGAATATTCTGCAAATTATATTCTCCAAAATTATTCATATGATGCATTTTTAATACTCATAAAAAATCCCACCTTCCTAACTTTAAAAACACCAAAGTTATTTCATTTCCGATCAATCAGTTATATGGCAGCTATAGGATATAGTCGGCCGATCCTTATGAAATTTAATATGTCGAATTGATTGGGCCAAAATAAAACCCATAGAAAATCCCAACTTCCTAACTTTACAAACACCAAAGTTATGGCATTTCCGATCAATCAGTTATATGGCAGCTATAGGATATAGTCGGCCGATCCTTATGAAATTTGGTAGGTCGGATTGATTGGCCAAATATAAAACCCATAGAAAATCCCAACTTTCTAACTTTACAAACACCAAAGTTATGGCATTTCCGATCAATCAGTTATATGGCAGCTATAGGATATAGTCGGCCGATCCTTATGAAATTTGGTAGGTCGGATTGATTGGCCAAATATAAAACCCATAGAAAATCCCAACTTCCTAACTTTACAAACACGAAAGTTATGGCATTTCCGATCAATCAGTTATATGGCAGCTATAGGATATAGTCGGCCGATCCCGGTCGTTCCGACTTATATACTGCGTGCAAAGGAAAGAAGGGTGTGTGCAAAGTTTCAATCCGATAGCTTTAAAACTGAGAGACTAGTTTGCGTAGAAACAGACAGACGGACAGACGGACAGACGGACATGGCTATATCAACTCAGGAGGTGATCCTGATCAAGAATATATATACTTTATAGGGTCGGAGATGTCTCCTTCACTGCGTTGCACACTTTTGACCAAAATTATAATACCCTCTGCAAGGGTATAATGATGCTAGCAAGTAAAGAAGGTTTAAGCACTAAATTACACTTTTTAATGCTGTATAACCTGTAATATTTAAAGGAATACGCTTTAAGGATTAATTTAATTATTTTTAATTTATTTTCAAGAGCTGAACAAGGATTAAATTTTTTTTTTTACTTATTCAACCCCAGAAGTTTTTTTTTTTTTCTTCTTTTTTGTAAACAGCCCGCAAAATACAATGTTTGCCATTTGATTGATTTTATTGCGGGCAATGCGATTATTTGCGGCCAATCCTTGGGGTGCCCAGATCTCCCCATTTAATAAGCTCTATTCGCAACCTCTGGTGTCTGGCCATTAGAACAGGTGTTGCCTGTGGCCTCACTTCCCTTCAATCTGCCGTAAAGATATCGCAAGGGGAAAGGAGCGAAACATGTTTGCTAACGCTTTAAAAATGTAACATGCGGCGCTTTTTCATCATCCTTTGCCTCGCTTTTCCCCGATTTTCCCCCAGCCAACTTCTCGGGCCTCTTCTCGATTATCATTTGAGTGTATTGAAAATTTGAAACGCATGAATAGTCAGGCTAGATCGTCCTGGGGCTAAATACATATACATATGTATGTATGGGAGCCGGGTCAGACGGCCACCGAGGCATTCCAAGGGTTTATCTGCGCACTTCAGATGGATTTTTCCGGGGGAGTGGGTGGGCGGAAATGGCCAAACACATCCGTTGGCAGATGTTTTTCACATAGCTCATAGCTCCGGTTCACATGTCGCTATACCCTTTGAAAAAGTACTAAAGTTGACTTAACTATTGCAGGGATTTGTTGACAAAAAAAATATAATGTGTTATTATTATTATTTTAAATTTGTGGGTATATTTATTTATATTATATATTTAAAAATTTAACGAGGTAAGTAAAAATAGTGCTTTTAAATAGAAATAAGAATAATTATCTTATAAATAGAATACATATTTTGTTTAGATTATCAATAATAATTACTATCAAAAGTTTTTAAATGTCATTTAATATAATTTCCTTTACCCATAGTTACTGATAGTTTTTGTTTTTTAGTTTTTTTATTCTAGGTTATTACAAATGTCGGTTGACTCGAGCACTTAGCATTTGCACCCATTAACTTTGGCGGTGCCCAGAATGAGCAAGTGTAGCGGAAATGATTTGGTAGCTCCAGTCCCTAGACACCCTGATCCACTCCACCCCCTTTCCCACCCGATGGAGAAAATTTTCATCTTCTTTCACGAGCACTCGGTGATTGAAAAGTATTTTGTTTGGGTTGCTGTTGCTATAAATTGAAGTTTTCTATTATCTTTATCGGACGGGCAACAGGCTGTATGGCTTGCCGAAGTTTGGGCGACGCTGGTTTGGGAACATAATAACATTTTTGGCCAAGTAATCACCCCAGATAATCGCTTTTCAAAGTCATATAAAATAAAAATACATTTTGTGGCAAAAATGGATCTTTAATTTTAAAATTTTTATTTGCAAAATCTTGAATTTATTGTTCATGATCTTAGATCTTTTTAGATAAGATTACGATTTTGACGACGTCTTCTGCGATGATTAGGTTTTCCCATGTTTGGGTGCATAATTGCCGATCTCCTTTCAGGCTTAGACCTTGCGCTAAGGCATACACCAATAATTAGTACGATTGGAATAAAAATTAGTCTGTGAAGGTTTAGCCTTATGTCTTCATTTTTAATGATTTGCACCAACTGGCTTACGGTTGGAGTTCCTTCAGGAAACTGACTGGAGAATATAATATTGCCTTCAAAAGTAACTTCAAAGTCAAGAATCTCTGTTATGGACTATAAAACAAAAGTGTCTTGAGCTTTCGTATTTACATTTGTTATATAAAATGTCTTACAAGTATTAGGATGGCCGGAAGTCCAACAGTCAGTATAAGTGCAGCATTTCTCGGCAGGCTTTTTAAATAAATCCAGATAATTTGGTATCCCCGTGTGAAAAACGACGGTATCAGGCATAAAATAAGCGAAATTATAAAAAGGCCGTTGAGACTGGAACGTCTATAAGAACCGCTAGATACTCTGTATTCAGGAAGCCTATTCTGTAGCTCAGTTTCTAAATCAGGATAACCAAGAGAATGGAATACCCTGAAAGATAGTTAAAGACATAGGCATGTTATTAAATTATATAATACGGAACTAAGTGCAAAATTTGCAATCCCTACATCATTATTTACTAGTCACATTATATTCTTATTAAAATAATAAAATTAAAATACATAAATAAATTCAAAGAATATTTGGATCATTTAACGTACATGTTTGTTTACGTTCTAAAAAACAAAAACTAACAAAACTGTAAACAAATTGAAATAGATTGTTTGATGCGATTAATTCAAAATATTTGGTTTGTTCGAACCTCGACATGTTGCATTGACTACAAATGATGTTTTGAGGTTAGCAAGCATTATTCTATTTTCCTTGATGTATGGGGTAGAGGGGTCTTGTTAAATAATTTACTTACCCAATACAAATGTATATAGTTCTATAAATGAACTTGTAGTAAAACATTATCATCAAAACACACACAAAGAATTCGTACATGTCTTTTCTCTAAAGCTAACTTCAGATGACTAGTTGTTCGATGAGATTGTTTACTGAGGCTTGCTCCAAACCTTCAGACTCGACAAGTTCGAAGTTGCATTGTGCTTTTGCACAGAATTTCGCCAAGCCAACATCATACGTGTCTTGGAAAAAGTTTTAGTGATAACAACCAGTTTTTTATTTTCTACAAGTCAGACTCAAATTCAATTTCGCTATAAGTAACAGGTAAGCGTGAAATTTTAAAAATAGGGTTTTAGTTTTATAAAAATCGGAAGACTATATAATACAGGTGTCATAAAAACAATCTAAAAATGTATCCGAAAATCCATCAAGCTTCATTCTATTAAAGCATCGAAATATAAACATTGGCCTAGTTTGCTTTATTTCTTGTTTTTTCTAATATATTAAAACAAATTTTTAATTTAATATTTAAAGTAAATGTTTAACTTTAAAATAATGTTGAATCGATGGGCGAAAAAACTGCAGCTAAAGAATGAAAAATAGTTGTATTTAAAATAAAATTAATAATGTTTTCAAACCTAATTCGAATGTGCTAAATTATACATATTATGCGGTTTAAACAAGGTTTCCTCTGGAATTATAGGGGCCACCTTTCTGTTTGCTCCACTCAGTTGGGCATGTTGAAAGCCCAATTCATTTCCTTCAGTTCTTTTTTTGCACTCATCGTCATTATCATCATCCTCCTGCTCGTTCATCATTATCGTGCTGGAGAATTTCAGCTGTCATTACTTTTTATGGCCCAGCAACATGATGCACTTGCCCTGCCCCATGTGGTTGAGCTGGGTCTGCTGGCAAAGTGGGGAAAAGTGTGGGTGGTGGGCAGGGGGTGATAATGGTGGGCGGGGAGGTGGTGTCGGTGTTTTGTAGCTGAGGCTGACTGGCAGTTAAAATATAATTTCAGGAAAGAAATCATCATAGAGCCCGAGCAGAAGCCCCAGCGTCGAGAGGCAGTAAAAGTAAAACATCAAAGTGAATACCAGGATGGTGCCGGAAGAGTGAGGTAGTCATGGTGGGGGGGAGGGGGGTGGTGTGTTGCAAGGAAGCAGCTCCGTTTGTCACCGCTAGAGGACGCCACAGGCGGTGCAGGCTGTCGTCGAGAGTGAATTGTAAAAGAACGCATTTATCCGAGCAAAGGACCTATCCACATGCGTCTGCCAACCGCCCTCCCTCATCTCCCCCTCCCCCCTGTTGTGTTTCATTTTTCACTTATCTGCATGTGAATACCATACAGAGAACAAAAACTGTACTATGTAACAAGCCCTACAGAATACTTTTTAAAGTACTCATAAAGGCTGTATTCCAATCTACAAAAATTCCAGGAAAAACCATATGTAGGTGTCATAGAAATCACTTGAGCTTTCAGTGCAGGTTTTAAGAATAACCAAAATGTTTGATTTTCGACTTATTTGATGTAATATTTGAAACTTGTTTTTTAAGAAGTAATAACGTTCCTTAATCAAAAAATCGTTTGAATTCCTTTAAAAATATCTAAATTATCAATGTGATAATGCATTGATTTAATAGATTTCATAAAACAGTAAAGAGGACATTTTTCATTGAAAAACTTTGGTTGAACAATTTTTGGACAATTTTCTGGTGGTGCAGAAACGACAGGCATTCGATTCCACCCACTCTTTGAGCTGGAAATTGTCAGCCGTTTGATTGTGTAATTGATTTAGCGATAAAACTCGTTCGGAGACAGCCTCTGTCAGCCCACCAACACCCCTCACACTCCCCCTCTTTCCATCCGTAAATCCGTTTAAAGTCGTTGGCTAATTAAGTTGCCTCCCAAAATGGCAGCAAAGTGGAAAATGAAAGTGGGTGGTTGAAAAAAAAAAAAAATGCGAAGGACTCGCCGTTTTTTCTGTTATCATTCCGGTCATAAATGAGACTTACCGTTTGCCACCCCAACCCTGCACCACCCACCACCCACCGACCAACCACCACCCTCCACCCAACAAATGTAAGCGATTTCAATTTCGGGTCCTCGACACCAAAACTTTACGATCGCTGTTGGTGTTTTTTATTTTGGTCTTAATTTTTATAAATTTGGTTTACCCTCTCTGAAGGTATATCAATTTTTCTACGAAATGCAAATACCAGTTCGTAAAAACAATATTTATAATCTGTAAAATTTTCAAAGACAAATATTACAAATTTATAAAAAAAACTTATCAAGTTCTACATATATAATTAATAAAATGTTACTAAATGTATTTATTTAAAAAGGGTATTTAGTGATTGCATAATCATTTTTCAGCGCCTTATTATATAGCTGCCACTGTATGGTGGAACATTAATTTTAATGTCGTCGAATGGCGTTTAAAATAAATTTGGAGAGAAAAATAAAATATAATTCAATGGAGCGGTCGTTAAAAAATAGACACCAGCCGCGTTTACCAATAAAAAAGACTAAATACATGTAGCATGGTAAATGCTTCCATATCTGGCGAGTGACTGCGGTAAAGGGGGATTTTGGTGGGAATTTTAGCATTTGAGCACGCGACTTTTTATTACCGAGACACTGAAACGGCAGAGTGGGCTCAAAGCAACCGCACAGTGAGGTGGAAAAGTATCTGTTCCCGCAAAAACTCACATAAAAAAGGTGTTAAACTGAAACCCACCGCAAATGGGGGAACCTATGCCAGCCTGCCATAAACAATATATCTAATCGTATTTTGCAATCGATGCAGATGCTCCAATATTAAAATTTTAAACTAAAAATAGATAAGCAAACTCCTTTAGAATATTAAAAATACGGCAATAAATTTTAAAACCAATCTCATAAATCATGTATTTAGAACAAAAACATTATAAGACAAGAGAATTCCAAATCAAAGTGTATTGCTCGTTTATGTTTTTGATAAACATTACAAATTAAGTAATAAAGGACAAGCTAATAAATTTCGGCTAAAAAAAGGGAAAAAAAACAATCTTGGAAATCTACTTCCTTGCATTTAAATTGATTTATTAAATCAGAAAAAATGTATTCTGCTATCCACTTGTTTCGATAGCCTTACTATTATATTAATTTAAAAAGTTTAAAGACTTTTCATAGCCTCAGATGCGGTTTTTGCAACCCTCGAGCAGAGGGGAAATTAGCTTTTAACACCCGAACAGAAAAATTGGTAGCACAACAGTGGACGAGGGGGGAGGGCGGTGTGACAGCGGCTTATATGAAACGAATTTTAATTAAAACACAACGGAAAAGTTTCGGCTGGGACAGGAAACTTCCCCGGCCCTCTGGCCGTACACTTAAAGTTAAATCCCAGGACTGTCAGACACTGTTCTCGCCACTTTTTCAGGTCCTTTGCAAATGGCAGGGGGTATTCCTGTCGTAGATAACATATTTCAAAATTTAATTTTAAAAATATAAATTTAAATGAAATGATGTGGATTTTGATTGACCACCGAAAAGAAACTTGCTATGCCATTTGCTTGATAATTATGCATGAATAAGAATTAAGTAAAGTAAAATATAGTTTTATTTTTAATGCTCTTTCACAAAAAGAAAAAGATATTGCCAGAAATAAGTTTTGCTGTTCAGATTACTACTTTTCTGATTCAAGGATTTAAGAGTTCATATAAGGGATACAACGGAGACGCGTGTATTGAACTCAAGTCGCTTTAGATTAAGTATACGCTGGAGTATCGATGGCCGGAATCGGTGCCACATGAGGTAGCAGTGGTCCACATAGGGGAACTCGTAGTCATCGGCAAACAGCTTGAGCAGAGCGGCCCTCATCGGTTGTCCGTAGCCCCGTCGAACTACATAGGCATCTGCGGCGTACTCGAAATGCCGTATTAAATAGAACACGATCCAGGCATTGATGGTGTAGTAAACCGGCATTAGGTACTTATATACCAGCCAAAAGCCCACAATACTTGGGTACAATTTGGAAAAGCCTGCCGCCTGGTAAAGCGTCTGCCACTTGTAGCACAATCCAAAGAGCAGTAGATATATCAAGAGACTCAGGTTGATCATCACCAGGACCTTTCTTAAATGCCACAAACGCCAGTGGGCCAGTTGATGGGCCACAAAGGCGGCCAACTGCTCGTCATTGAGACCAGCTCCCACCTGACCCAAAGTCAGGTCATTCGTGTCCATGCCCCGGTTCAATTTCAGATTATCGTGGATATCCAAGCGCAGGCAACACCAGATTCCCATCACCCAGGCCGTGGGTCGTCCCACATGAAATGTGTGCACCAGAAAAACCCGTCCCGGAAATCGAAAATGATCCAGTACCAATCGCAGTCTGTCATTCATATCGGAATCCTTCAATTGCAGACTCTTGCCCAAACAGGGCACTCCGAAAATTCCAACACAAGCCAAAAAGAGCAGAAATACAATCACCAAAGAAAGCCAAACGATCAGTACGAAATACCAAACACTGATCTGCTCAATGGACATGAAAACCGCGGTCAGCGGAATGATACCAATCTGCAGGAAACACCATGATTAGAAGTAAAATATAATTCTATTAATATATATAACAATCTGCGAGGTATAAAGATAAATTAAACTATTTTAAAAACCATTTAAATTATTGAAAAGAAACATTAAAAACCCACCTGCAGAAAAACCAAAAAGAAAGCCAGGGCACAAATCAAACCCAACAAGGGAGGAGTCTTTTCAGGATCAACTTTGTATTGGGGATCCAGGACCAATTTCTCATAAAATAGGGATGGCAACATTCGGATCACCAAGTAAAAGGAGAACAACGTCATGAAGGTCACATTCAGCCAGATAGTATCCGCATAGCCATACCACCCCACAGTCAGTTTCCAAAGGTACACCAAAGTGCAAAGATACAAGTCCAAACAGCTATATATTGTATCCATTATAAGGTTAAACAACTCCAGATATGAAGTGTGAAGTTGCTTATCCTTGGAGGCCTAAAAAGGGAATTTTCATAAGAGATTATCATCGTTATCTAAATTTATTGTTGATTGAGTACATTTTCTAAAACATATACATCACTATAAATATTATTTTTCTCACAGTTTCTTTTAAATTTTGTGCGCAATAGTGAATATTGTTTTCTTTGTTTTCCAATTTGGCTGATTTTTATACATTTTGTGGGCAAAAGTTAAGCTAGTTTTATTTGTGACGTTTTTATATGAAAATCAAAGTCGCAAATAATGATTATTTTCGGTCCCTGATACAAATTCCTAAAGGAATACCCCTTAAAACATTTTCTAATAATGTCAATAAGATATATACAATCAAATACCCACCTCGAAGGCCTCTTGCGACATAATGCCCTCCAATTGGGCCGGTGGGGCATCGTTTTTTTTACACAATTTCAACTGGCGACAGCATAGAATTATGTGAAAAGAGTTGTGAATTATTATTATTAGACAGAGGAGGTGGCGCAGCAGAATCGGATCAGAGATAGACATTTGTTCGGGAAGCATCTTCATTCCAATATGATAACCCGATATGGTAAGGCGTTCGCCATGTAGTGGGTCCTGATATAAAGGAACTACATGCATATTGCGAGCAGTGTAGATGTTAATGTAATTTTTGGAGTAATATAAGTAAGTGTCAGGATAGATGAATTATATCTAAAAGTCAACTAAGCAAAAAAAAAACAAATTAATCGTTATACGGTAGAAGCAAATATTTAATAATCTACTTATTAAATAATAATTTAGCATTTGCCAATGCTTCTTAATAAGTTTAATATGATTATTTTATTGCACAATAGTGGAAATGGTTGAGATTTTTTTTTAAATATTAAATATTCCAATATTGTTTCCAGCTTAAGAAGAAATTCTTTTCTGAAAAGTAAAAAATGTAGTCTTACTATTAAATAATGATTACATATTTTGTTTTTAAATAGTTTTGGAAACATTGTTTTTTTTCTTTTTAATTAACCATTTAGTTGAGATATGTGTAAAATATAGTATCATTTGATTTTTAAACTGTTTCTTGTCTTTAATGCCAAGTACAAAATGTACTTAAATTTGGTTTAAATTTTAAAGGGATGCGATTCTTTCGAAATGGTTTTCCAAATATAGCTAAGCTGAGGTTACCAGTGTCAACCAGAAATCAAATATGTCACCCTCACATCATCGTAATCCCTATCACATAAGGGACCCAGATTACCTCCCCGCCAATCGTTGACTAGTGGAAGCCAAAGATTATAATGGCGCCAAAGAAATTACTAATATGTACCCGGCGAAAAAAGGACGCGTGTGTAGTGGTGGTGGTGCACTTGTGTGTAATGGTTCTTTGTAGTTTGTTCCGAGGATTTGAACTTCTTACGCTTGGCATATCAATAATGAGGCAAGGGCTTGACGGGATTCTGGGGGGAATTGTGTTGCCAAGCTGGCTGCTTTGATGGTTTCGGTTCAACGCCATTACTTAAACCTCCCCCTCCCCCACCACCCATCGCCCACATATCCCCATACTTAGCCACACACATACTCACACACACATGCACACACCCAAATGCGCGAACATTCACTTGGCATCTCTAATTAGTAGAATTTAATCTTCACACTATGGCAACGTCAAACGTCCCGAACTGCGACCTCCCATGAAACCCCTCGCCATCCTTTATTCCACCCATTGCGCTGCTCATTATGAAAAATTTCAAATTAAAAAGACGAGGGAAGTGGAGCGTGCACAGAGAAAAAATGTGCCCCAAATAATAATAGTCAAAATTATTCGAAAACACATGACTGGGATAGGTTAAAAAATAAATTATTTTGGGGAACCCCAAAAGAATAACTGCCGAGATTTGTTTAAGCCATTAAATTTAACCTTAAACTGATCTTACCTGCACCATTTTATTGATTTGTTTACTTTTCATTTTTGCTCCAAATTATGTCTCAAATAACCAAAAACCATTAACAAAATCAAGATGGTGTAGATTTTAACTTTTTGCGAAAAGCTTTTAAGGGGAAAAAATGATTACTATGATATGAATTTATAGATTGCTTAAACACCTCATTCACACATATTTTACTAAACCTTAGTGATTTTACTTTAGAAGTTAATGTGTTTAATATTTTAATAAAAATCGTAATGAAATTTTTGTAATCAAAATTTTTAGACAATAAAGAAAGCACTAAAACTTACTATGAATATTGTTTTGGAGGAACTAATGCTATCTTTATAAAAAAAAACATATATTATTCAGCTTTTTCTCCGTGTGAAACAAAATAAAGGTTTCTCGTAAGAAGTAACGGTAGGATTTGCATAAATACCAGGACATGTGATGGCGTGTGTGTGTGTGTTTGTGTGTGTGTGTTAGTATCACACATCATGATTACATAATTTAGCTATTAAAACAGCGCCAAGTGGCTGGCTGAAGTGAGAGGGAAATAGGAGGGACGGAGAAAGAAGGCGGCTTATTTATGCCTCAACACGCAGTTTGGCGCAGCTTCAAAGGATCCGAGACATGGGTGGGGAGGGGGTGGTGGTCTTGAGGGGAGGGGCTAGTGGTTAAGAGGGGCTCGTCCTGCGAGGGGTATTCCAGTTCAACGGCACACATGTGCACTTGATTTACTCATTAGCGTTACTTTTCTGTTCATAATAGGGCGCTTACCAAGCCGGAAACCGCAGCGGCCTCCGTCCCCTTCCCCTCCTCCTGTCCCCTTTTCCGTCGCCCCCTCCCCCCTCCACCCATGCCAGCCACATTTGGTTTCATTTCGAACCGTTCGGGATGCGTTGGTATAAGCCGCTTAGGCGTATCCTTTGTGCATGTGTAATTGTGCTGGCCCTCACACACACTGCCCCCTCCCCCACTTTTCATCTTACCCACCCCTCACACACACACACATACGCACACTTGCACACACCCACGACTAAGCCCTAATAATCCCCACTATTTGGCGAAAAGAAGGAAGGGGAAAAAGGTAATACACTGCCAAAAGTGAAAAAATATATTTTAAACGGAAGAATTCTTGTGTAATCCATACAAAAATCAAAAATATATAATTAAAGAAATACATAACTGCAAAAAGTCAAATAATATATGAAGTAAAAATTTAAAAAGTCTTAAGTGTTAATATTGGAAATTAATTAGTTTAATATTTAATTAACATAATATTAAAACAAAGGTGTTTATAAAAATAGGCTTCGCCGCATTGGAAAATAGAAAATCAAATACCAAGTACATTGAATGTTTCTTAATCTTTCAAAAGTTATTCCTTTTTAATGCGAATTTCTCTCAGTGAACATGCGTAAATCGGTAGCAACCCAATTCGGTGTGCCCATTTTCGCTCCTCTCTCTCCATTCTTGGGTAAAGTCAAAATTTAACTTTTCACATTTCCCAAGGGCAGAAAATGTTCCTAAGGGTTCCCTTGACAACCAACAATTCAGTCTGCAAATACCTCATGTAAATAGTTATCAAGAAAGAAAGGCTTACTGAGCTGGCAATCAAGATGGTCTTGTACTTCCCATCACAAAGGGGTACATAAATACAGATTTACTTTTAATAGAGTTAAGCCTTTACGAATTGCACTATTTCAAAGAGTTATCTTAATAAAAATTCTTACCCATTTCAAATCAAAATAGTCTTAAGTATTCTTAGGGGAGTCAGAAAAAGCAACTCTTTAAAAGTATATGTTTATATAATATGAGAAGTACACCAAAACTATTATCTTGATAGGTTAAAATTACATGGCTCGGTGAATTTTTATACCAAATACCAGTTTTTTCTTTTGAGACCCTTTTAAAGATTTATTGCCCTGCAATTTTTTAAAAACTATACCATATTTTGTACACTATAAGAACTCGAGATTAAAGAATCTTTCTAACTTCTTCTTCCACTGTCAGACTTCATTCCATGGTCCGATTTAGTTGAATTATAGCTGAGGTAATCCTAAGCCGTATAATTATGTGGTTTTGACTCCAGACAGAGGTTGAACAATTTACCTGAGGCTTTGATAAATCTCCTCAGCTCCTTGGGCCGTCCTGCCCCGAGTTGTTTGATATATGTATGCCCAGCTACCTCAATTATATTGTGCAATTGTGTAAGAGATAATCCGAAACTGATTCGGATTCGTTGCGGTCAAGTTGTGTGCCGTCATCTTTGGCCATCGATAGGTTCCTAAAGTTGGAGAGCACTTGAATCGGGGGATTCGGTTACGTAGACCATCATCTATTATGCTCGATAAGATCGCAACGTGAATAGAAGTTTCCGTTCCGTGATAAGGGGATTTTAAATTAATAATTCACTCTTGCTCCACGAAAAACGTCGGAAAATTGCTCAATTTTCCATGCTAACGCGGTAAAACCGGGGGACGAGAGACGTGAAAGACGAAGAAAGAGAAATTTATGCTAATTTTCGACAACTATCACCGCTCAACATCGGTGGGACGTGGACGGCAACCCACCCGAAAACGCAGACCCACCAAACCTGATGGTCATGTAATGTCGAGGCGGTGTAACGAAGTAACCTAATTAATTTGTGGCACTCATTAGCAACAATTGAAAATGCCAAAGGCAGCAGAAGCAGCTCCTCCAACCATTTCCCCCCTTTATTTTCCCAACTACCCCTGTCACTCGTCAACTCAGCCAGAAGTTGGAAATGCCCGTAATGAGTGTGGGGTATGCGACTAACGCCCCTGCCCCGCCCCCAGCTACTCCAGTTCCCCCCATTTTGTCCATCGAAAAAAAAAGAAAATTCGGTGGGGTATTACAATTTATGAATAATTTAATACAAGACTTTTTAATACCCTAATTTAAAAGAATTTAGTTAAGGAGAAAATATTTATAAAAATGTATTTTTGCTATGTGTTTACTAAAACAAAAGAATAAGACATATTTTAAGTTATTACATGTAAAATAACAAAATGTATCGTTTAAAAAAAAATATGTATGAAAAAAGAATTATTTGTTTATATGTAAAAGGAATTTTAAAGAAGAATTTTTTTGAGTAAGCTTCAAATAATTATAATTGGTACTCACGACTACCCAAATGACATATTTATGTTCCTAATATTCAAATACATTAGACATTTAAAGGCTTTAATTGTGACGTGATTTCAATTACAATGCGAGCATACACGACCACTCTGTTTTAAAACCGATTTGTGTATATGAATATGCTATAAATTTACTGCACATGTTGAACGTGACTCACTTTGTTCCCATACTTTCGATCTCATTGGTAATATCATAAATTTCTAGCACTCACGATCACAGAAAAACAAAACTTGAGTAAACCCAACTAAACAGTTCATTTAGTTTTATTAAACTGCAGTTAAAATAAAATAACGTTTTCAATAATTGAATTCGTTGATTCCCATCAAATGTCACTTATTCAATTAGCCAACCGGCAATTCTTTCTCATTGAAAGTGTCTGAAATAAAGACGCTTCCGCACATTTTTCAGTAGTCCTGGCGTGTGTACTCCTCCCAATTCATCAATTAAGATTAATGTCCAACTTCATGGATTCCTCGATCATTTATAACGATTGTTTCGGAGACAACTTCATCGAAGACAACCGTACGATCATCGATCAAGCCTGAAATGTTGTCTAAGCAGCTTGTTCTCGACTTCCAGTGATATTTC